CCCCCATGGACCTCAAAACTCAGTATATAGCGAGCTATATGCTGAGAATCGCGACATTGCTCTCGATATCCACCCAGCTGGCTGATCGACAGCTGGCTCTGCCTAACTAGAGGCAGAGCCAGCTGTTCCCCGCCCCCTCCCATTTAGCACTGGAGGATCGGAGAGGGGAGGTGGGGAATCCCTGTGGGGATCAATGACCGACAGGGCAGGGGGGGTGATTGGGGATGATTACACTCATCCTCATAGTTGGAGCCGATGTGCGTCATTGAAACAGTCACACATCAGCTCTATTGATCGGGAAGTGAGCTAACACATACCGCCGCTCGCTCACTTCCCGATCAACAGAGCGGATGTGTGACAGTTTCAATGTCACACGTAGGCTTTAACTATGGGGATGAGTGTAATCCACTCACCCTATAGTTCGCCTTTAATGACAGGTATTTGCATGTTTTAATAGTATTCCTGCGTGTTTTAATAGTATTCCTGCGTTTGCATGTAAACAAAATATGCATATAGGTCACATACAGCTACAGCACATAGCCAACAGGGAGGGAAAAAACCCATACAACACCTGCAAGTAGGGGTTCTTACTGGCCCTGCTGATCTTGGCAGGTTGGTTAAATGACAGCCATACATGCGTACTGAGTATTTAAAAGGGACATAAAAACCTCATAAACCACTAACATCGTACCCTTTGAGATTCCAAAATGCTTTCCTTACCCACAGCATGATTAGACAGAATGTAAATGTACTCAGAAATCTGGTCACAGCTCTTTACATGAGCCAGTTAGGTGAGCTGGTGTTCCAGCTTGTTGTAGTTGAAAAGCTCGGCATTTCAGCATCTTATGTCCATCACTCTATACAACACTGCCAAGACTTTTCTAGCAGAACCATGTTATAAAAGGCACTATAAACTTGTTAACAAGGAAACATTATGGAAAATTAGAAAGACTGTGCAAGCACCTCCGCCAAAAAAAATAAAGCCCACACTAACTCCACCAGAAAATTCACATAGGCAATAGGACACAACCAAAAGAACAGTTCTTTCATTATACTACCCCAAGAGAATTACTACCTGAAAATTATATATTTACAGTTAAATAGAATTGAATGAAATACTGAGTATAGAGGACTTCTCCCAAACTGCAAATTCAAGCTGCAGTACCCGTGTATATAGTAAGACGTTCAAAACAGTTGCCAAGCACAAAGTTCAAGTTTATATTTCAGATCCCTAGCAAAGAGGGCAGATGAGTCTAGTCATACATTAACCGGGTCTCCAAAGACGATCAAACATGCTTTAAGGAAATGACAGATTTCATTGCCGTTTTGATGTGAAGAGAGCTTCTTATTATTCCAAACACAAATGAGCCAGTTTCTATGCAAAATATGTGCAAGGTGCTTTTGGAAGAGATGTAAAAAAAGAAAGTACACCATAGTTCAGGTGCCTTGGCTTGCATGTTACTATGCATGTAAACAGAATCCACTTTCCAGCAATAAAGATAAATGGCAAAGCTAGGTCACTACAAGAAAAAAAGCCTTACAAGTCTAAGGGCTTGCTAGCTGGCAAAAATGATACTTTTGCTATTGGGTTCTTTGGCGATCCTCTATAGCGGTTATGCTCTCTACTGGACAGGCTACGCAATGAATTTTTGGAGCCATTTGTGGACAGATCAGGCTTTGCACACGTGGGCCTAGAGATAGCTTGATTTGTTAGGTCTTCTAACACAGACTTTACTGGGTTTGCAGAGGAGAGCACTGAGGTTGGTGCATTTGCAAAGGTCTGCTTGGAAAGCCTGGAACTGGCTCCTTGTAGGGAAACTGTAGTTAAATGCTCACAGGAGGAGGAATTCCCCTGCCTACCTACAGGGAAAAGCCGATGGCTTGAACAATTTAAAGAGAATTCTGATGAAAGAGATCCATCACAACTGACTGATTTCACCATAGGCGAGCCAACTGTTCCTTCTCTTGCCCGCGTGTGGTCCATACACTGTTTAACCCCCAAAAGGGAATTTATACGGCGAACAGACTGGCGTACAGGCGTACGCTGAAATTTAATTGGAGACTTCGCTTTTTGGACGTTGGGGTCATTTAGGCACAGTTTATTGAAGCGCTGTATGTGATCAGACACCCTGCAAGTTCTACGAACTGATGCAGGTACTGAGGGAATGTCCTGAGAAATGAGTGAACAATTCTCTTTGTTAGACACTGGATATAGCACACTATTTTCTGATTTTAACATGCCCTCAACCTTTTCAGGAGCTGGAAAGTCTAAATTAATAGAGGCGTTGCCACTGCTGGATTCAAGCACGTCACATTCCAGTTGGTGGAATGACATTTCTGTCAAGCCCGGAGAATAAGCATTGGTTTCCTCCACAATCTTCAATACAATCTGTGGTGACTCATGATCTGCATTCATTTTCAAGCTCTTAGCTGGTGTCTCCAGGGCAGGGAAATGCTTTTCAACATTTTCTTCTTGATAGATTCCTTCTGATGAAGTCTCATTGGCGTCACCATCACAGTCCTTGTTTGACCTGATCGGAATGTCACACTCCGTTTGTGGCTCAGATGTGCATGTCTTGTGATTAATGTCAATCGCTGACCCAGTGACTAAAGTTTCAGAGTCTGTCTGAGGCTCTGAAATAAATGCTGGAGGTTCTGATGCTGCAGACTTGCTACAAACAAATGCACTTAGATCACACCCGGATTTTATAAATGCTTGCGTAATCCTGCGTACCGTGCTCTCTGCTTGACATTCCTCATCTCTACACAGCAAATCTTCTCTCTGGTTGCTCTCTTTGCTGTAGTTGTCTGTGACTGATTTGATCTCCTTGGGCATGGCAGGGGGTTTCCCAGTTACAAGAACAGGCTCAGAATAGCAGTTTCCAGCATACAGATATCCTGATAAAGGTGTTCCATCATCACAAGCCTCACTTAGAGGAAGAGGTCCTGTCCAGGACAAGCAATGTTTGGAGTCATCTGACTTTTTGGGTGTTAGTAAGTTTTCTTCAGATTTGCTTATTTTCTTTGAACCTGTAAAGAAAAAAAAAGTCACTTTTGAGAGGAACAAAACAACTACATCTTAGGAAAACGCATGGCATGTAGAAATGGAGTTCAACTTCCAATTAGATATTGTAACAAGCATGTGCAATTTATTTACAAGCATACATCCTATAACAGGGGTAACCAAACTGTGTCGCCCCAGCTGTTATAGAACTACAAATCCCATAAGGCATTACAAGACTGACAGCCAGAGACGTGACTCCCAAAGACAGATGCATGATGGGATCTGTAGTCTACCAAAAGCTGGAGGGCTGAAGTTTAACTACCCCTGCCCGATAAGAAATGTTTGGAAACAAGTACTCCATGTACAGTGTACGCATTGCAAATGTAAAAAACAAATAAGTTAGACTTGAGAAAAGGTTTGAAGGGCTCCCTGCCTGGATCTTGAAGACCTTTAGTTAATAAGGAACAAAGCTGTATCGTAAACAACTTTTTGATGGATTTAAACCATGGGTAGGTAACCCCGGAGAGGTGAAAATTTACTGGAATAACATGGAGATCAAAAGGTAGCAAGGTGCTTTAGTAAGTATTGCAGAGTGCATGTCAGCAACGCACAGTGCAGGAGTAATCAACAAACTTTTGTTCCCCACAAGCAAAAATACCCCCCAGTACAAAACATCTACCTTCCTAAGCTAAAATTGCCCACAGCACAAATTCCCCCGCCTGTAAAATTCAGGCACACATCAGATGCTGCAACACCCAGTAGAGTAAGGGAAGTCCTCCCAAGTCTTCATTCAACTGTGTCGTATGACACTTCAGAGCAGAAGAGGAGTCCAGGAGATTCTCAGCTCTGCATTCACATTGCTGGTCTGAGAGGCGGCATGGCCATTCACCATCTACCTGGCATATGCCCCCAGATGACGAGCAGATTGAGATAAATGGGTTGATTAGCCCCCAAACTACAGCTTTAACAAGACATATTTCACCGACCTGTACAAAGCCATTATTAAAGAGACACTAAACTCAGGAGTTGAGCTCCATTTTTGTTAATAGTTAAGGTAATTGAATGCATTGTTTATATTTATTTGTACATGATCAAGCTGTAGATCCTTAAATAACTTCTGAATTTATGCCAACACTGCCCTTCCTTCTCCAAGCTCACTCCAGTGATGGACTTTGTAGATTGTTTTCACATTTAGTTTACTAATTTGTATCGAGATTGTAGTCCATCCCAGGAGCGAGCTTGGAGCGGTGTCTACTTTACACACACAGGGACTATGGGGAATAAAAGTAGTCACCCTCCAGAAGGAAGGACAAATTCAGAGATGATTTGAGGATCTACAGCTGAGTGATGCACAAATAAGATACATTTTTGTTGAAAAGTTAAAAAGGTGCTTCAAAGCATTTTAACTCGAGTTTAGTATCACTTTAAATTCAAGGTGCACCAATATGAAAAGGTCAAAACCGAAACAAAAAAATGTCAGGCTGAAATCGAACGTGGTCTTTATTCTAACATTTTAAAATTTTGAAAAATATTTTATTTTTTATGAACTTTAAAATTTTAACTTTATATTTAATCACTTTTATTAAATATTTTTATTTTTTATTTTTAGTGGCTTCTAAAACAGACCCCTAATATTTCCCTTTAAAACTAGAAAGAGATTGAGGATAGTCCTTAATCCCTTTTTCTGCAGCCCCTCTCATCAATGAACAGGAATCCTCTATAATGAGTGTTGCTGTTCATTCATAACTTGTGGAGATAACCACAATTATGAATGAACAGGAAGTGATGAAGATCACTTCCCATTCATTCACAATTGAGGATATAGTAAACATACATCACAGATCGCTGAGTATTTGTACCCGTTCTCCATCCTGACATGCTGTCACTGGAGGCTGGGCGGGAGGAGAGCTCAGCCTCCTGTTACAGCAATGGCCATCTCCACCCACACCACCTCTCTCCTGATATGCGACAGGAAGCTGAGCTCACAGGGCTCTCCTCCCGCAGCGCTTATTGTAAGTATTCAACAAAACCATGCATATTATGAAAGCATATCATGTAATAACACATTTTACAGCTCAAATGTGCAGGCTGCTACAATAGAACACATATAGGCCACACAAAAATCTGTACAGAAGCGACAACATAGATTGGTGTCAGTGGTGCAATGCAGCTGAATGCCCAAGCACTACACAGAGCTCATTGGAGGGCTTCAGGGATTTAACATCCTTACACCATAGGGTGCCAGAGAAAGGCATCATCTGTACATCTGTGCCTGGATTGCATCACCTGTCTTGACCACAGGAATCAAAAAGGAAACCCTACACAACCACACCCAACGAAACACACTAATCACTTAGAACAGATGGTGCTACAACCGCACACCCAAACATTGAGGACACGTTCACACCTGATGCATTCTGGATGCTTTTTTCCCCAACATGTTTGAATGCAAGGCAAAACATGTGCGGCACAATAGGCGCACCTGACACATATCTGCATGTGTATGTGGGGGCGGAAGATTTAAAATAAAAAACCTTTAGTGCTTCTTTAATTTTTGTATTACTTTATTGCTATCACATGAGGGGCTAAGACGCCCCCCTATGTGATGGCCAATTTACATGACAGGCCCTCTTTATGAAGACATCAGGGGTCTCCAAGACCCCTAATGCCACCTAGGGACCCCCAAAGAAGCAGAGATCTGCTTCATCAGCTTCTGTAGCTGGAGAGCGACACTGAATGATGGAAGTGATGTAATATACATCACTTCCTGCATTCGGGGGCTGAGAGGAGATCAAAAGCGAGATCGTGTACTGCTCTCCCTTTGATCTCCTGTCACAGAGCCGTGCCAGTCCCAGCGGATCTTGGGACTAACAACGGCAGGGACAGCTGTTGGTAATACAAGCGATCGGGCGTCTCGAGACCGAAAGCTGCTCGTCCGGCTCCGCCGTCCTCTCGTCAGAGAAGAGCGGATTTTTAAAGCTCTGCTTATGTTGTTCCTGCTCTGCTTGCAGGCAGAAGGGGACAGCTTTCTTCCAGCCATAAGCTGCAATATATTACACTTTTTGTTCTTGGGTTTAGATACACTTTAAAGGCTACGTTTACCTTTTCTACCATGTTTCAGGTTACATGCATATTCAGGGTGTAACATGAAACATGGCCGCTGCTATTCTTGCACACACAGCTGCGACATCCATTCACAGATGCTTTGACAGTCCCGTCTGCCACCGTGGCACTTGTAGTCCATTGATACTTCCTCTTGTCCCGGAATGCTCATACCTCGGTGTTGAGGTACTGACACTGATCACTGTTGCAATGCTTTACTGGCTCCAATGTAATTCATAAATAAATGGTTTTCTTTTAAAGAAGTGTGCAATTATTGTTCTTGAAGTGGATACATACAGAAGCAGGCAAGGTTCTGCAATTAAGATTGGTAAAATCTTCGTATGGTATACAATGGGCCTAAGAAAGAAGATTTTTTTTTCTTCCACCAAGCTTGGAGTATCGATCTAAAGTCAGGCACATTTTTTTCCATCTGTTGCAATTATTAGCCCTTATGAATATGCCTTATTTTTTCCATTCTGATCCATCAGGCACTAAACCTTGTGCCCAAAACAGGGTTGTAGTTCCTGTGGGATTTAGTGGTGGCAAATTTGACATGGATATCATCACAGCTGGCGATGTGCGTTAGAGGAGGAAACTTAAGCGTCATCAGTACCTGTAATACCACCCATATTTTTTACTTGAAAGAACAGTTTTCAGACATCAGCTCTGAGCACTATACAACAGCAACATCTGCTGATCTGGAGATAAGTCCATAAACATAGCATGCCTGAGTGTTTTGCAGATAAAATTATCTCCAAGTGTCATGTTACTACACCACAATAGAGTATTGATCATGCGATTTGAATTTAGGGGAGGATTTTATGATAATTTTAATTCAATTTTGTTTGCAAACGTTTGAGGCATCAGGGGGTTTCCCACTTATTTAGGTGTCTTGACTTCAGCTTTGCACAACCTTTTTGCTAGTGTTACTACATCTTTTCCGAAAATCTAGTAATCAACTTTATCCCAGCCTAATCTTTAGTTACTCAGTAACCCTGCCTTCTATACACTGGTACTATAATTTAGACTTCTGCTCCGTCCTAGAAGATGGAAGTTTGGAATACTATCCAACAGGACTCTGATCATGTTTGCATAACCAACATTAGCACTAGAACTTAAAAAGATCTTATTTAAGCAAGCTCAACTCTTACCTTCACTTACAAATGGACTTTCAACTGGAGAAAAGTGATCCTCCAACTTGTTTCCAGAAACTGGCAATTCTTGTGAGGTTGCCAGTCTCCAGCCAACATTTTGAGAACGAATGCTGGTAGGACAACCTGAGTTCTAGAAGGAAACCAAATTATGTAATTAAGAAAACCGTGTATCCTACCAAAAACAGACCTAATCGGAAAGAACGTACACAACACCCCCTCCCTCCACGTTTTAGAAGAATTTAAAGAATGAGGGACAGGACTCCTTTTGAACATGTTTATCAAAACTGAATACCCTGCATTGATCTAAAAAAATACAAATTTACATGAACCTACATTGAGAATAAAATAAAACTTGAAAGCACATCTTTACACATTATATCAGAATGTATTCCTATACAATGAAAAATTGGCTGTCAGCATTAGTTTAAAGTAGATGAGCTATTTATTACTCAAGCAGGTTTCCCCGAACTTCTGCCTAGAGGTCAAATGTTATGTTAAAGCAAACACCAGGTCAAGCACTTAGAGCTAAGTCACCTCCTTGCCTCAAGCCTCTGACTGTGCCACTCACATGGTTTTATCAGGTGGTCATACCTTCGTGGTGGACTGCAACATCTCCCTCCTGAAGAAGCTGCTATAGTGAAACGCGTTGAAACAAACCAACAAAGCACTATTCATTGAAGCATCAAGACCTTATATAATGGGATTACCATTGTAATGCAAGATACAGGAGAAATAATGACAAACGCCATCTTTAAAAGAGACTACATGGTTTATGGGAGGTTGTTTATTCCATGTACGAAGGAAGTTTCTTTTTAATTATGTGGATGCTATTATAAGAGGAGAAATAAACATGCTTTGTTTTATAATTTGATAAAAAGTATGTCTTGTTATACTTTATGGTCAGTAAAGAATCAGCAAACCGCTCTCTATTCATACCAGTATGTGCCTTGTCAGCACATGCAAGAAACCAGATAGCCACCTAGCACTGCCTTTTCTAGCATAAGTGCTGCTGTAAAGGGGATTACCAGAGTCTGACAGAAAGTGAAGCTGCTGACTTATTTCCTAATAAATACCCAACATAAACTAGCGTCCTCCCGTGACCCAAAGCTCAGTATATTGCGAGCTCCAGCTCGTGGTATACTGAGACTGCCGCAGCCGGGGCGGATCCTGACATTATTTTCGAGATCCACCCAGCTGCGTGAGTGACAGCCGGCTCTGCCTATCTAGAGGCAGAGCCAGCTGTGCTCGCCCCCTCCCCCGTCCGTTCTGCCAGTAAGCGCTGGAGGATCGGAGCGGGGGAATCCATGCAGGGAGCCATCAGTCACAGCTCTCTGCAGGGACATGATTTGAGAAGGGAGCGAGCGACGGTATGCGTTCGCTCACTTCCCGATCTATTGAGCCGGCGCGTGATAGTTTCATTGTCACACGTCGGCTCCAACTATGAGGTTGAGTGAAAATCACTCACCTCATAGCTCTCCTTTAAAGCATGTCCCAAAACCTGTTACTTTTCCTGGTCAGCTTATAAATGTGCATAAAACAAAAATAAATATCTTTACCACAACAATCAGTATTAAAGGAATGTTCAGTTAAAGGCTCATGAGGGGGGGTACAGGGCCTGCCATTGCTTGATACTTGGCTGTGTGTGGCATCAATACTTTTTGAATCACAGCTCCAAACAAGCATGATGTTAATGAGTGTCTAAATTCCTGGTCTCTAGGCCTGTTCCAGGTCACTGATGCAAGAACAACTGAAGTCAATGCACCAGCAGGAGAGGCAGGCACACAGTTTCTTCTAAAGGAATGTTCAGCAAAGTGGCAGCCTACATTATTCTAACAGGCTTCTTAAGTGAGTGAATGCAGGAACATCGTAGACTCCCATGGCCCAGTTGCTACTGAGATTACCTAATAATACAATAAATAAATTACTAAGACATCTAACTGTACATTAGAAGCTTTTAGCCACTTACCACTTCTTTACTACTTTTTCCCAGACTAAACCGAAGACGAAGCGATCTGCGCACTATCTCTTTGCGACTTATCTTAGGGGAGAAGCAGCCTGTTTTCCCTGATTCCACCCTACATGACAAAAACACAATTTCAAAGCCCGATTCTAAAAGAAACAGAATCCACCAAATGAGAGCACAAAAGTGAAGAGCATTCATAAGCAACTTACCTTTGTACTTTCCTGTTTTCGTACCTCTTGCTGCGTCTTAGGTTACTAGAGCTGGAGACGCGCTTGCTGCTAGAGACAGATGGTGAGAAACAATTTTCTGATGTTTCAAATGAAACACAAGGGCTTCCTTCGGTCCGGACTTAATGGGGAACAAAAAGCAATTACTTAAGTCAAATACATGTAATATTGTGTTTAGGCAACAAATACAGGCTTGTTCTCTATATCTGAGCAATAGATACTTACTAAAAAAACAAAAACAAACAAAAAACCCCAATGTCTAAAGTTATATTTAAATACATCTGATATAGCAAAATGTTACCTAGGGAATAGTTCTAACTGCCTTCCAGAGGTCATGACTTGACAGTCAATTTTATTACCTATGTAATTATAACACAACCACTTACCAGAGGATGGGGTGGATCCACCACCAAAGAGACTACTTGGTAGCAGCTCAAAAGCAAGGTTCTGTTTTATAGATTTTCTTTTCTTGTTCGAAATTCCCTGCACCGAATCCAAAGGAAGCTTTCTTTTGGTGCTTGGAGTAAGGATTAAAGGTGTCACCATGGAACTCAAAACTGGATGGATACAAAGCATAAATAAGGGATCTTGTATTTTGTTTGCAACCATGAGAAATCCTGTATCAGCGTAAAGCTCAAGGCGAGGTTACAAAATATTAGAAGCAGATTCAACTTAAACCTAACTTGATTAGCCGGCAGAAAGTGTTAAAAAGCAGCTTCCAAGCTTAAGCAAGAAAATGCACTCTACTATTTTGCCATTAAAAAGAAGATGTGAAAAGGTTTCAGGTACATTTGAAATGTAATTTTGATGTTTACAAAATACATACTTTCATTGTCACAGGTCGGCTAGAACTATGAGGTGAGTGGAAATCACTCATCTCATAGTTCTCCTTTAAACTTGCAAAGACAACCAGTCAGTACACAAAGTTATTCCATGAAAAACTCCGTTTATGAAGCAATGGATAACATACAGTGAACGTTAGTATTTAAATGCATCTGAAACCCTTTCAGTTTTAAGTTAACAGGTCTTAAAGGATGCCCATGCATAAAAAGTATAAATGCTGCTTGCATTGTGACCATTAGTTAGTGAATACCTACCAGTCCTGTCTGGCTGGGGTGTAGAAGTAGGTGTTCTATTAGTTTTAAGTTTATTCAATGCTCCACTAACAAAATCTGAAATGCAAGACATGGAACTAAGCAATCCTCCAAGAAAGGTAAACTACAAGGGTCACATAACATAAACCAGATCCCTAAAAAGCTGTACTATCAAACCCTTTGCATGCTCACTCTACCACTTAAAGCTGAACTCTGGGATAAGCAAATATTGTCCAAATATAAGTGGCATGGGCATGTGTATTCTTACTTAAATCTTCGTGTGCTTAGTGTATTCCTTCCAGATTGATGCAGCAATCTAGTGCAATAGTCTGCCTCTGTTCAGGAGCTTCATGTAATACAGACTGGTCACGGCTGCTCTCCTTCTGCAGTTATTGTGCCTGGACTTCAGATTTAAGTAAAAGCTACAAATTTTGTTTTCCAATAGTGGCAAAACTAGGGATTGGGGGGGGGCTTAGGGTGAGGCCATGGTATGTGTTCATGTGAAATAGGGACCTTAGATTGTAAACACCATAAAGAGGAACTTTACCCTTATCTTTGGCGTGACAACAAATACACCTGTAGAAACTTTTACAGTAGTAATGACAATTTACAGACAGATACTTCTAGATAATTGACAGCTTTTTATTCTTTCCTCCCCATTCTTCTCACAGGGGTTTCAACAAAGATGGGGTTTTTCAAAGCATTGTTTCACAAACCTGCCCTTAACCCTTACTCAATTTTGTAGTGATGAAGTCACCAATATCTCCAGTTTATCACTATATATTATAGATATTTATATAATGCCATCAATTTGAGCAGCACTTTTCATACTACACATTTGAGTCAGTCCCTGCCATTAACCACTTGAAGACTGGGGCTTTAAACCCCCTTCCTGTTCAGGCCATTTTTTAGTATTTAGCGCTGCGGTACTTCGACTGACATTTATTCCGTCATGCAACACTGTACTGTAATTAATTTTATACTATTTTTGGGGACATAGAGAGCTTTTGGTGGTATTTAATCACCGCTGGGAAAAGACAGGATCACGTCAGGTAAAGAGACACCAAAATTGCGCGCACCTGCGAAATCGCCAAAAAACTACCATATCTAAAATTGGCCATAGGCAATGCTTTAAAAGCGTTTATTGCTCATCAGCTTAGTGTTATCAGTGATGAATGGCCCTACAATTATTGCTTGCACTATAACGTTTGCAGTGATATGCAACGTGTGGTGTAATCTTTGTTCACACACGTAGGCGCGCCCAACGAGTATTTACATTAATATGCGGGCGTGGCAAAACAGCATGCACGCACGAATCGGCAAAGACATATGGTACCAATAACTGTCCATATGGAGTGCTTTAAAAGCCTTAACCAACCATCAATGAATGACTACTCTCACTTTTGTGCATAGTAATATCCAATACGAGTGACGCAATTGTCATTTCTGTAGCATGCACACCAAATGTACGCCTTTGCTTTTCTATCCGTGCACACGAGACTTAAGAAAAACAAAAATGTTTGTTTTAATTTATTGCCATTACAAGGGTAAAAAGCTACTGTATTCTAACAAATGTTGAAGTGATATTAGGCCGGGTTCAAACCTGGGCGTTTTACAGCACTGATCGACGCGCTGTAAAACGCTCAAACAGTGAAATCCCATAATTTCCTATGGGCATGGTTCCCATCTGGGCGTATTTCAGCCCGTGGAAACGCGCTGAAAAACGCCCTACGCCCAAACAAGTACAGGAGCTTCTTTGGGGCGTTTTTCCATGCGTTTCCATTGGTATTCCCGAGTGTGGATCGGGGTTAACGAAGCGGTAACCCCGAGCCACACTCGGGAATACAGCGTAGGGCTTACCTTGTCCGCGATCCCCGCTGTGTCCTCCGGCGGCTGCCGACTTCTGTCCCTTGCTAGCGGTCGCATCACAGGGGGGCGGAGCAAGCGGGGAGTTTGAAAGTGGAAAAATAATAATTTTTAAAATATAGAAAATAAGGGGGGGGGGAATCATATCCAGTGAAACGCGCGTTTCACTGAGCGGAAAAAAGTGCTAAAAACACGGGAAAAAAACGAGCTGAAAAAAATACGCCCAGGTGTGGTTCAGTCTTAACGTCAAAAGGGTTTAAAGCTATTTCTAATGCTGATTAAATCACTTACAATGGACGCTGCTTCTTAAAGTTGAAAAGTTTCCCCTGAGCACTGGTTTTTTGGTGGCTCTTTTCTCAAGCAGAGTTCTATGGAGCCACCCTTGTGGGATAAGCTGGCCATACACCAATATATTTTTTTTGTTCAACCTGCGGGCTGAATGAAGAAAATATAAGATTCCTCCATCAATGTTTATGAGCATTAATCGAGGAATCTCCCGCAGTCTTCATTGTACCCAGAGCCAGCGGCTTGTTGGCTGTCATTTCTGTTCATTCGAAGATTTTCTGACCGGCTCCTTCGATCAGCTGATTGAGGGATGCTGGCAGAATGGGGGCTGACAGTGGTACCCAGTGTGCGAATTTTGGCTAGTTCATCAAGAGCCGGCTGGACTTCGCATAGTGTATGGCCACCTTTAATAAGCGGTGTTCTTCTCCACAAACACACAGACAAAGCAAGCTAAACCCCTCCACCGTCTGGGCCCCTCTCCAAGCTAGTAGATGGACAGCTGCTGGAGACTGTGCTATCCCTTGTGATCTTGTACTGGACAGGAAGTTCAAGGAAGTGGAGCTGAGAGTTTGAGCCGGCTGTACAGAAACACGATGACTGTAATTGGTTGGTCAAAAATAAAGAAATACTTTTGATACTGTTGTATGTTTGATCTGGATTAATTTTTGGAAAATGTTTGACAGTTTAATACTACTTTAATGAAAAAAGTTGGACAAAAAAAGTCAAAACCCTCCACCAAGACTTGGGGCAAACGTAAGCAATACACCGATAAATACAAGTCGCAAGCACCCAAAATTACCACCTTCCACAATGCAGCCGAGAGGTAGCCATACATGCAATCTGGTGTGCTACAAGGTCCAAGCAGTATATTAAACAGTCATTACTGTACTACAATGCATCATTGCTAATAACACTGCCAGGGATTGGATATGTAGGTGGCATGAAGAGAGCAAAGCTCCACTTTATACACAGTAGGAGCTCCGTAAGCTTTATTCCACGTTGCATAAAAGAGCACAAAGTACAGACGCCTATTAAAGAGCAATGTCCCACACAAAACTATCAAGACCGCTCACAGTAGTCTGAAAAGGAAACCTGCACAGGACTAAAAGCCAATCAGTTGTGTTGGATTCAAATCATAGGCCGATGACAGGAGAGAACAGACACATGACCTCATCAGTCTATGGCTGCTCTTTCCAGGGGATTGCAAGAGGTGGATAGCCAGTAAAATTCAGGTAGTTACATTAAGGGCCCAGTCACACCATATCCAGTGCGTTCCGAGCCTGGAACACATAGATCAAGCCGGGCAGCATTCTGAGGTTGGGTCTGTGCTATTCATGCCAATGGAACCGCAGACATGCCCCACCCGCAATGGGACCGGAGCACGAAGTAGAGGAATGCCCTCCGTTCCAGTGCGATCTGAAAAAAATTGTGCATGCAGCATTTTTTCAGATCGCACTGTGGGCATTGACATGACTGCCACCGACACGCCCCCTCTCGCCCCAGAATGCTGGCCGGCTTGATCTATGTGACCCCGTGTGTTCCAGGCTCGAACCACACCGGATGTGGTGCGACTGGCCCTTAAAACATAAAAATACATTTAGGGCCCAATCACATCTGAAGCATTGGGCTGCATTGCACAACACAGGCCCAACACCACAACAAACCAAAATCCATTGTTTTCAAGAGGCCAAGGGATAAAATGCTTAGCCTGATGTGGAACGTGATACTTTCTTGAATGATCTGACTACAAAAAAGCAAAAGCAAATAAACAGCTCGGTGTTACCATACTTACCAACAATGTCTGTCTATCTGTAAAAAATAAGTCACGGCAACTGGACTTCCTGTATTTTTCTTGAAGACGTTTCACTGGTCATCCAACCAGCTTTCTCAATTCAGAATGACTTGGGAATAAATATGGTGAAAGAATTTTTGTAGAAGAAGTCATTCTGATTTGAGAAAGCTGGTTGGATGACCAGTGAAATGTCTTCAAGAAAAATACAGTAAGTCCAGTTGCCATGACTTATTTTTTACAGATATACCATGACCTGGATAAATGAGAACCTTCACACACAACAATGTCTTGGTTATGTAGTTTTAAAGCTGTACAGCATTTATGGAGAATATGACAAAAAAACTACTAGACTGCCATCATCACATGGACAACATTTACTTCCTGTTAGCACAATTTTCACAGATTATTGCATCTAATTGTTAGCAGGTGCAAGATAAGAACAATAGGACCTTGCAGGATCGACACCTTACCTCCAACACTTCTCCGCCTCCTTCGCTTCCTCTCTCCCGGGGAGTCTGCATCACCATCATCTAATGGCTCAGCTCCAGGGGTATCAGAGCCAACATCCATTCCCAGCATGCCTGGTATTTTCTCAAGAAGAAAATCAGGCACACATCCTTTAAGAAAAATAAATAAAAGAAAATATATATAAAAAACACTGCAAAATATTTGCAAAGCAATTTTGTTTTTCATATTATGTTTGCCTTGGGAAATGTCAAAGGATCATTTCCAGACTGTATCATTTATCTTAAGACTTTATGATGCTCCACCGTTGCCATTTAAATTCAAGGAAAAGTGCTTACAACAAAAATGTAATTGACTACCAATATACTGGTGATACTGATCATTAGGGATGCACCGATACCGGGTTTTCAGTAAAGAGTACCGATTTTTTTCCCCCCGGTACTCGCCGATACCGAACACCGATTTTTTTTTTTTCTTAATCGAAGCCCGTGGACGTGCATCAAAACAAACCTCCCCGTGAACAAAAAAAGGGCAACCGTGAAATCACAGCACACAAAAACGTGCACAAGGGTGCAAGGTCCTTCAAAAGAAGGGACCTACTTTCCCGACCCCCCGGCGTGCAAGGCTCCTGACAGGGGTTGAGACTGTTGGCCCACCAACCCGAAGGCCGGTGGACCATTTCCGTCGGGGACCTGCCGAAACAGGTCCCTCACAGTACTAGGCAGCGGGGATCTCCCGAAGAGAAACCCCCCTCCTGGGTTGGAGGAGACAGAGAACCCCGTAGGAGGCACAGAATCTCCTCTCAGCATCAGGTATAGGCCCCGAAGAAACCTGCACCTTCAGCATCTGTGGGTCAAAGCTTTAAAAAAAGCCAATCGTGCAAACGTGCATAAATAATAAAGTGCCAGTGCACCACGCTGACAGGCCTTTGGGGCTGAGTGCAAAAAAATTGCCCCGGACTAGCCATAAGGCCTGCCCAAGAGGCGATGTGCAGAAAAATGCAAGGTGGTGTGTGACCAAGTGATCAGTGAGTCAATGTGGGGTCCCACACCCAAGTGACTTCCTGAGCACCCCTGGGACGCCACGCCCAGGGGGCACAACACCAAGGGCTTCTGCCGCCCCCGGACCCTCTAGCCTCGACCAAGCTTCGTATCCATTCCCATCAGGAGATAGTTCATCTTCAGAGATCCCTCCCCTGGAGCCCACCCATTAACTAGGGTCGAAAACTCCGGGGCCTGGAACCTCATCCGGCTCCCTACCAATTACGCCAGGAATCTACTGGTCCGTCCATCCACCCTTCCTAGGCGACAGCAGACTTTCAATTCCCGACAACTGATAAGAACAGATACTACACTTGATCTTAGCCAAAAGGCCGAGAATGATTGGTGATTTTTAACACAAGTGTGTTATTTACAGTTCTGCGTTGCTTCATTTTTTTACCGTTTCGTTTCACAAAAACGAGGAATTTAAAATTTAGAAGATATTTGTCATTTATTAACTCAATACAGTTTTATCTTTTAGATTTAGTCAGAAAAGTGTTTTTTGTTTGCAGATACTGATTTTATCAAATTGTGTATTTTTTTCGGTTCAATATTGATTTGGTAAACATTTTGAAACTATCATGGGACCTACAAAACTAATAGCACCATTGTTTTATTCTACCGGGACTGTGCTTTCAGGAAATGTATGGTTGGGGGGGTCTTTTATAAACGCTAAAAGCTGCAGTTGAAAAAAAAAAAAAGTAAAAAATTGCAAAAACAGTGTGGCCAGCTGAGGTTAAAAGCGTTCTCCAGGGCATGGCAGCAAAAGAGTTAAAGGCTTTTATTTAATAAGATGTATTTTATTTATAATAGAATTGAATAGTTCTATTATCTCCACCACAAATTGCACTTTCATATTTTTAGACATCCCAAAGTACCTAATCTCCAGAAGGTAGTGATTATTTTAAACACATGAAAATATTTTATATGCTTCACGCTACAAAAATAAAAAACATATCATAGTTACAATAAAACCTTAGATCTCACCTATATTTGCTGCCTGATCTATCAGAATTCGCACAATTGCTGCCTGAACACGCAGCTTCTTTTCTGTGCTTGCAGAAATCTTTTCACTGCCACCTGTCTGTAGAAGGTTGGGAGCAAATATTACAGCCAGGTTGCTGCTGTCCATTCTGTTGGTGTCAGATCTGTAGGACACATTAAAAATATAGAAATGAAAAAAAGACACACCATGGGTATTTATAAAACTGAACTTATAACCCAAGTGAAATTCGTACCTCATAGAGACATTCTGCAGAAAGTTAAAGAAGTAACGCAGGATAGAAACTGCCCGTTCAGGCATTAAGCAGGATATTAGCATGGTTGCAGAGGTCTTCTCCTCATCACTGCCCAGTTGCTGAGCCTTGCACAGCGCATCCTGGAAATCTGCAGGAAGTATGGGTTCTGGTAGCTCTCGGAAAAACTGTTTGAGGATACCAGCCACATCACAAGGAGGAGTATCTGAGAGGTCATTATCACCCCCATCAAGTTTAGTCTATGACAAGCAAAGGAGACAAAGTCAAGAGAAACACAGAAAACACATGCATGCATTTCTACCATTGCAGCTTGCATGACTTTAGATATAAAAAATAATAATTCTGTGCCGTGCAGCAGACTAGGCATCTTCCTCCACGGTGAAAGCAGTCTTAAAACCAGTTAGGTTAACATTTAGGATCTAACCGCTAAATAACCAATGCATCCGTTTTGATCCTCACTGTTCAAATTGCGAAATGTGAAAGAATTTTGCTGCAAACATAGGCAGCTACAAAAATATATGCAGTAAATGTAAAGAGGGCAAGTAGACGCATGGACCTATATACTGGGAGAAATTTTACCTTTAGTAGTTTCTGCCGCACAACAGATCCAGACTTCCTGAAAAGCCCTTCAGTGTGAGCATGGCTCTCCAAGTAGTTACACACATTAACAAGGAACCTGGAATTATAAATTGCCATCATATTTGTTTATTAATAAAACGCAAAATAAAAACAAGAATATGATAATGTTGAGTGGACGAAGCAATAAAACGTTTGCCTTCTTCCATTAATAACCTTTATGGAAAAATAACCTTTTTTCGGCTTTAGTTTTCTTCTGGGTCACAGGAGTACATTTACTAATACACTCCTGTGACCCAAACTCAGCAAATAGTGGTCTACTGCCCACTATATGCTCAAAGTGCAAAGCTGCACTGCAGTTGGGAAGGATCCCAACAATATTGTTGAGATCTACCCCATCGCCTGATTTAAAGCTGGCTATGCCTGTCTAGAACCAAAACCTGCTGCCCCTACCCATATGTCCTTCAAGTCAGTGCTGGAGGAACAGAGAGACAGTTTCTGCACTTTCTAGTAGTGAAGGCATTTGCTCACTTTTCCCACACATTCTTATAAGCTAGAGAGGAAGCCCCTTGATGACGGGCCAATATGAACAAAAAGGGATTTGGCTTTATATCTACTTTAAGGTGATCGATGAAAGGCTCAATATCTCCCCTTCCAAATGTTCAATCACCATTATGGCCAGTGTAAATTTCCACAACTGTAATACACATCACATAACTCATGTATTTATACTCACATTGGAATGTTTCCATACTCTGGAATAAACAAATAAGGTATGGAATGAATAGGTACTCCAAAGACGTTACCCTAAAATAAAAAACCATTCATGATTAACAAGGGACTTGGACATAGATATGAATAATAACATGCATATACATTTCTCTATATTAAAAAAGAAAAATATGGTTGACATCTGAGACAAGTACAGCAACATAATTAAAAAGTGTTTTAAAGAAAACGTTTTGTGTTTTTCAAGGGGAATTGTTAAACCATTAATGCTGTCAATGTCCCCCACTATAGAGATTTAACTCCTGTAATGGCCCTGGTGAGCTTTGTCACCATGACAAACTGGTGGAAAAGTAGAAAACTTTGCAATTGTTGCCTGAACAGGAATAGAAGGGAAATTAAACAACTGTTTCCAGGGAAAGCTAATTGGGGGTTCCTCAACTCTAAAGGTGCCCATACACTGCACGATTCTCGTACGAGAATCATGCAGTGTGAATGAGGACGTGCGACCGCTTCTACTGTACGGTCGCACGTCTTTTGTCTAAAGGAGCATGCTAGAAAACCAGCCGAAAATCTTATGATTTTCTGCTCGTTTGAATGATGCTCGGCAAACAAATGCGGAACGGGCCGGTGTGCGCACACTGCCCGTTCAGCATTGCGGTCATCGGAAGCCCGTCCCTCAGGGGGGAGGGCTTCCGATGATCGCAAGCACGATCTGCCTGTCCAAGATGGGCAGATCGTACGTTTTTTTAATTACTTTACAACCATCGCAAGACTAAAGTCTTGCGATGGTTGTAAAGTGTATGGCCACCTTTACTTCAGGCTTTCCTCCCAATGCAGGAAGTGAAGAATTCATCTCAATCTGGGACTTGACCATTAGCTACCGTAACTAAAACAAATATAAAAATTACTGCAATCTAAATTTTAGACTTCCGAGGTTGATAAGAGTTGAATGCTAACAGGTTTTTATTGCTTTCAGAGATCCTACTAAAGTGATTTCCATCCAGATAACCACCTGTCACCTCGACAGGAAGTAAGAGAAATATTGCAAAACATTACTTGAGTATTAACCCTAAACCCACCATACTGTTTATGTTCCACTTTCCCAATCCTTCCTGCCAACCTACATTAAAGATATCAGATTATATAAGTTCGTTTAAACAGATAGACATTCTACAAATCAGTAGCCTGCCAGTCCAATAACAGGTTTAACAAGCCAACTTCTTCCACTAGTGCCATTAGAAAATGTCCTAAAAATGTTGATACCATGCATGCTATATTTATAGAAAGACATTTTTATTATGATTTGATCAGATGACCCTCAGCTGTCTTATAGCTCAGGGGTAGAGAAATTAATAAAAACAAATTCAGCAGTCTGTCCAATCTAGGAGCCAGCAGGATTTTATTTAGAAGTCAGCTCCATTGACAACATCTAGAGAAAACTTCAAAAATAGGTGCCAGCTGTAATTTGTAAGGAGCATTGGCGACCTGTCCAGCCTTGTTATAACTATATAGTAAATAGCACGTATCGATTGTACAAAAACATACACCAATTCAGTTTAGAATGCAGGTTTACATAAGATGAGCGGGATATGAAGTATGACCTATTTAAAAAAAATGGTCAGCTGCAGATGCAAGTCTGTAGCTTGATCACACTTCCTGTAAGAATGGGTTTGCCCGATCTCCAAGAAGTTGCAGCTGGCCATACAGTTATTTAGGCCAAATACTATTTTTCCTTCTTCCCCACAAGGTAAATCAGCATCAGGGGTCTCCAGCTATGCTCGCTCTCATCTTTTCAGTGGACAGAAAGCCCATCTTTAGGACTGCAACCAACTAATCGATTAGTTGGTTGGATCCCCTAGCTGTCTCCTCCACACTGGAAGTTGGGCACAGTAAGCAGGTGCAATAGCAAGCCTGCTTTTGGCTATTGTAATTTGAAATGGCTAATAGCAGGCTGGCTATTCCACCAGCCCACTACCTGCTGCCGTCTACGGAATCTTGCAACTGACAGCTGCCATTCCCTGGCTCAAGCTATTCAAGAACCACAATACAATGGCAGTTGTCATTCCCTGGCTGAAGATATTCACGCGCCATGTGCTTACGATACAATTATTAGAACCAAAAAAAAAAACATTAAAAGGGTGGGATAAAAAAAAAGAGAGTAATTTTCGGTTTTGGCCTGACAAATTCTGCTGCAGGAGGTGCGTTGCAGTGCCATTCATTTCAATGGTACCCCAAAGGAGGCTCCCCCCACAGTCGAATCACCACACGGTACTGCAATGCTGCGTGTTACAGCACAGTGCGATTGCAAAAAATTGTGCAGCAGTTTTATTTTGAAGTAAACTTTGTAACACTGCGTTTGTGTATTTTTTTAATCCAAAGAGGGAAAAAAATCGGCCAACTAATCGATTATGAAAATAATCATTAGTTACAGCCGTAATCTTAACGGTTAGGCCCCTTTTAGATGGGTGCTGTCTGTTTCGTTCAGCAGGGGACCTGTAAACAGATCATGCAACATGGAACTCTGCTCCTTTTTATTTTCTGAACCTAGATAGAGTCGGGGGTAAGCGGTTGTAAACGGACACACATTTGTATAGATCCAGCTGTGCATAGCATTACAATGGGCTTCCGATCGGATCCGCCTAAAAAGCTGACAGGCAAATCTAATCAGATCACCCATGTGAAAAGGGACTAAAGGTGCCCATACACTGCACAATTCTCGTACGAGAATCGTGCAGTGTGAATGAAGACGTGCGACCGATTCTACTGTACGGTCGCACGTCTTTTGTCTAAGGAGCATGCTAGAAAACCAGCCGAAAATCTTACGATTTTTGGCTCGTTTGCATGATGCTTGGGAGACAAATGCTGAACGGGCCGTTATGCGCACGCGCACACTGCCCGTTCAGCTTTGCGGTCATCGCAAGTACGATCTGCCTGTCCAAGATGGGCAGATTGTACGTTTTTTTAATTACTTTACAACCAATCGCAAGACTGAGGTCTTGCGATGGTTGTAAAGTGTATAGCCACCTTTAAAGTGCAAGTGAAACCAAAGCGTACTTTATTTTTGGAAAGAGTGAAAAGGGATTAGAGCATCTGTCAGGTTTGTCTTACAATTTGTGTCCCTATACAGGAAATCCACCCTCTCTATTTTTCCTGGTGACAATTAGCGCTGAAAGTGAAAGAATGTTCCAAATTTTGGGAACAGGAATAGATGGAAAATCATCCAATGAGGACACTAGTTCTGATGACTTTGCTGACCACCAGGGATGGCCATTGGATGTGAAGGGAAATCTCCCTAATGGGGGGCACAGAAAAAAAAAAAAAAGAACCAAAACCAACAGGGGTTACAGTCCTCGCTGTTCACCCAAAACTTTAAAAAAAAACATTTTTGGCTCAATTTGACTGGAGGAGGGAAAAAAAAAAGGGCCAAGAAATCAGCCCCCAACATATTCATACAAAACAGCCTCATCTGCTAGGCTTACCTCCTCTCCGTCGCTGTCCCCGCAGACTTGCTACTACTAGCACCAGCCCTCTTCTGGGTTGAAAGACACTCAACTAAAGGAGTTTGACAGATGGGCAAAGCTGAACGGTCAGTCGCTCTACCTGAACTCTCCTCCTTCCCTTCAGCAGTGACCAAGTAACTAATGCTCCAAGTCTGTTGTGTGACCAGCACCAGGATTTGAGAGTCCAACCCTATATTTTTTAATTACTACTTGAGGAGTGATTTACAACGCTAGACGTGCATATCTATTTTAAACATGCCATACATAAATAAAAAAATAAAATGTTGAAACTCAGAAATACAAGAGTTGAAGAATTTGGCACCACTGAATTATGGGACGCTTAGCCCGCCAAAATACAGTGTTAATTTACTGTTTCTAAGTCGTCAAGTCTAGACCTGAACCACTACTAAGTCAAGTTTTGCAATGTACATGAAACATTCCACAGAGCTGCAGATCTTAAAAGTTGACCTACGGGCATTGTATTTCTTTACACAAACCCAACTGTAAAAATAAATGTGTATAAATAAATGGTATACCGAGACAGAACAGATGAACTTGCCATTTTTGCAGGTATACAGCTGTGAATATTGGTCACAGAATAATGTAATGAATAACGTATGACGGTGGCAATAAGTAACAAATGAAAATAAACAGCATTTTTCTATTCTATAAGCAAGTGGTCATTTCCACCGAAAAGACCACTGAATGACTCCGAGGCAGAAGCATGATGGGATTTGTAGTTTCAGCACAGCTGCAGAGCCAAGGTTGCCTACCCCTGCCTTAGGGGGAAAAAAAGCCTGTTCATTAATAAATGCCAAAATGATGCCAGAGTTATGGTGTATTCATTATTTCCCTCTCACAGTTAAACATACTGGCAAGTGCAGTGGTTGAAGCCAACTACGGAAAGCAGGTCAGATCCAACCACCAAAATATCTTTCCAGAAATATACATGTCCATATCAAACATACATATATGTTCAAAGCCCAACTCAGTGTCCCCCCCGGCTGTATTTTATATTTTAAAATGTACTGTTTTCGAAGTCTTCAGGCTGGTCATGTGATGTCACAGGGTCCACTTCTACAGACTGGGATGCAGAGAGCGACACTGATGACATCAGTTCCGCTCTGTGCACAGTACACTGTAAATGAAGGTGACATGGTGATGCCGTCCACTCACAGTATGCACTCAATTGTCAGGGCTGAGTGATGCCGGCCTGGAGGAGAACCCAGTGGCATCAAAACATTATGTTCTGAATTGAGTGGCCAAGGATTAGAACCCTAGTCAAGTTTTTTTTGCATTTTGTATCCCTGCATGGTAGATTTAACACCTCTGGTTTGTCCTAGTCAACCTTCCCACTGATAGAGAATGATGAGAATGAAACCCATAAATCTTGCAATAGGTACTTCTGTTATGGAGACAACTGTATTTGCAAAGCTTTCCTCTCAGTCACTGTTGTCTTTCCAGGACAGGAAGTAAAAGGACAATCTCACCAACTTCACAGAGAGCAAAACATACATTGGCAGGGGTTTTAAACCTTCCCTACTCTACTCAAAACAAAAAAAAAATGGATAGTTGTGCGAGAATAAAATTACCCTGATAGTATGGTCTTTTTTTTAATCTAGTAAAGCTCCTATTCACACCTGTCTGGTTTCCTGTAGTAAAACACGTTACTTTTTAAGTAGAGATTCCTTTTCTTTACTATGTGGCTGGTTCACACCTATGTAGTACAGTTTAAAGTGACACTAAACTCAGGAGTTAAATCTTAGAAATATATTCAAGTACATTAGCTATTAACACAAATGTATCTTATTTGTGTATCACTCGGCTGTAGATCCTCAAATCATCTCTGAATTAGTACTAACACCGTCCTTCCTTCCTTCTGGAGGGTGGCTACTTTTGTTCCCCATGGTCCCTGTGTGTTGTAAATTAGTCACCGCTCCAAGCTCACTCCTGTGATGGGACTACAATCTCAGGTTTACTTTACTAATTTGTATTGAGATTGTAGTCCATCACAGAAGTGAGCTTGGAGCAGTGGCTACTTTACAACACACACAGGGACCATGGGGAACAAAAGTAGCCACCCTCCAGAAGGAAGGACAGTGTCAGCACCAATTCAGAGATGATTTGAGGATCTACAGCTGAGTGATACACAAATAAGACACATTTTTGTTAGTTAGGGTACTTGAATGCCTTTTTAAGATTTAACTGAGTTCAGCGTCACTTAAAAAGTGCCCTTAAATTGGAACTTTAAGGGTCCATTCATAACCCTACATGTGTTATCATATGCGTGCATAGGTGGTAATGGGCACACAGGTTTAGGGCAGTGGCCTTGACACTACAGCTGTTGTAGAACTACACATCACACAAGGCTTTACAAGACTGACAGCCACAGTCATGACAGGATTTGTAGCTTCACAACAGCTGAAGTGTCAAGGTTGCCTACCCCTGTTTTAGGGTATGTTGGACCTTTAGATCTCATGTCCAGAGAGGCGTTTCTACATTTGGAACACACATTAATAAGAAACCTTTTGACATTCTTGTCCACCTTTGCATTTATCATTTGAATGCAGCTGCATGCATTGGAATGGAAAGCACAACATGTGACAGAAATGCTCATTGACACAAGGGTCTGACAAGAATGGCTGTGTGTACAACTACATGTATTTTACCGGTCACCAAAGCAGGCATACTTACACTCTGAGAGGCACCAGAGGACACTTTCCCAGCCTCCGGCCGCTGCTTACTGTTCCAGTGTTTCATTTTGATGCCATATGAACGAAGATGCTGAATAACAGCCAGCCTGGCCAGATTGTGGTAGTCAGGGGACGGCTTCATTGTGCAGAGCTCTCTGATCACACTGACTGCATGGATAGAGGTCTATTATACAGCCTGATCCTATGTATGCCTTGGTCACTTATGAAAACGTACTAGAACCTTCATTTAACACTTCCTATGTCCACAATAACACCGCTTCACGTCCACACTGCTCTAGGCCCCCACTCCTTAGATCACTATAGAGCGTACCGAGGGGACCCGGTGTGTGATAGCGTCCCCTCCCCCACACTCATATCACGTCCGGTCAGTCACCTTACCCGCCGCCTGCCTGACACACTACACACAGTCCGGACACTTCTCTTCCAACCTCCATTTACCGAACCTTCTTCCTGGGACTGTAGCGCGGTCCCGTCAGCCTACTTTCTATTCCCTCCTCACTTTCATTCCCCTCTATAACATATCTTCGCCGCCTCGTTCCCTTCTTTCACTCTCTACTCCGTTTCCTCTGTCCCGCTTTCCCCGCTTCACTCTGATTGGCCAGCACAGTTTTCCCCTGCTTCACCCTGATTGGTCAGCACCAGTTCAAACCTCAGGACCCCCTGGTGGCTATAGAAACAGGGCTGCCCTTCCGTTCGCCTGTTCTCGCAAAATAAGTGTGAAGGGCGGTGCTCAGTGTGAAAGCTGCGTGTGTGGCTGAGGCGGGCTCGGCTGGTGTTTGAGTACACAGTGACGGCTGAGAGAGGCAGGACTCAAATATCTGCCATCCAACACTAGACAAAAGTGATATTGTTTAGATTTAGAAGGATCCAAGGGACTCCCTGTTCTCCCAGGATAACCCATTCCGGAGTTCAGCTTTAAAGGCATGCTCCACGTTTTGCTGGAATGTAATATAACTGCACCCATCTTACTTAGATTTAAAAAAAAAATGTGCATTTATGAAAGGTTTGCATTAAAGCTTACACCTCGCAGGAAAAGACTCAGGGATATTTAGGTTCAATACATTAGGAGTAGGCAAGATCAGCACTTCCTCCAGTGGTGGTGGAACTACAAATCCCATGATGCTTTGTCATCTAGGAGCGATGCCTGTGGCTGTCAGAGTATTGCAATGCTCCATGGGACAGCTGGAGTGCCAAGTTGTCTATCCCTTAATTGCTTCAGTACCTACATCCATATATGAACATATAGTACAGAATTGGCTAAGACCCAGCAGACAACTGCTGCATCTTGGTAGAGCTCTCTTCAGCTGGCTGATGGCTTTCACATACAAGTGATCTGTGCTTCATCAGCTTCTACGGGATCCATAGGTGATGTTAGGGGTGCAATAAACCCCTGATGTCTCTATAAAGAGGACCTGTCACTTCCTCTGTGCTATCACATGAGGGACTTGTTAGCCCCCCTATGTGACAGCAGTAAAGTTAAGTGTGTAGCCAGTGGTGTATTTAGGTTTGGGGCTGCCCTAGGCAAGACAAAACTCAGGTGCCGCCCCATACACTAAATTTACCCCACCTGGCTGTGATCTCATGTGGGCTCTGCGGTGGTCTCTACAGGATCTTTGGTGGGCTCTGTGGGGTCTCAGGCTGCCAAGCCCACCATAGACCCCGCAGAGCCCGCCACAGATCCTGCAAAGCCCCCCTGAGACCCGGCTGAGCCCTTCACAGATCCTGCACAGCCCCCCTGAGATCCTGCAGTCCACCATAGACCTCGCAGATCTCACCCCAGATCCTGCAAAGCCCCCTTGGGACCCAGCAAAGCCCCCCACCGATCCTGCTGAGACCCTGCAGGATCTCAGGGGGGCTCTGCAGGATCTGTGGTGGGCTTTGCAGGCTGCAGAGCCCCCTTTGAATCCTGCAAATCCCCCCTGAGACCCGACAAAGCCCCCCACAGATCCTGCAGCATCTCAGGGGGGTTGTGCAGGAACTGTGGTGGGCTTTGCGGGCTGCAGAGCCCCCTATGGATCCTGCAAAGCCCCCCTGAGACCCGGCAAAGCCCCCCACAGACCCTGCAGAGACCCCCTGACACCCTGCAGGATCTCAGGGGGGTTGTGCAGGATCTGGGCTGGGCTTTGCAGACTGCAGAGCCCCCTACGGATCCTGCAGAGCCCACCAAAGAGTATTGCACAGCACACCTGAGACTCTTTGGTGGGCTGTGCAGAATCTATGCTGGGCTCTGCCAGCACAGTCCTCTTACCTTGCACGGCCTGACCTCTTTG